AAGAAATAAATGTGTCTCGTCTGTCAGGTCTTGTAGAGAAGGTTATCATTAGTTTTGTGTCAGTGGGTCACATGGCATGAAAGTTATTGAGGAAAAACATCAATTTTGAACAAAAAAATGTAAAAATAGAAAATGCTTAAAGTCTGTTAAAATTGCCTGTGTCTCATCTGCCCCCCTTAGTAGAGTGATCTGACATTAGTTTTCTGTCAGGGGGTCAGATGACGTGAAATGTATTCGTTTTTGTCAGGTTCGGTAATTTGTTGACAGTCCCTAAGTGAACCATTGCGTCTGGAGGAGGGGCAGACTGAACGCAGCTGACCGAAATCAGGCTGCCTGCTTCGGATCAAACAAGAGGAAGACACCGCTGAGTCCACGGAGCGCGAACATTCAGCGTAAAACTTTACCACGGTAACGCGCGAGACTTTCTCTGTTAGCAATGGAGGACACTGTTGCAGGAGCTGTGGGTCTTGGGTTTTATTTGTTTTAAAGCGAAGTTTGAAAGAACACTAAAAACCTCCAGGAAAACATGAGTTAAAGGAGCTAAAACTCGGAGCAGAATGTTTTGTGCTGAACATTATCCAAGCACAGATATTCTTGTCAGCAAAGAGGATGAAGTCAGACTGTTAAGCTTCTGATTTAACAATACGAATGCATTTTTTTTATGCTTGTGCTAACAGAGGCTTTAATTTTCTCAGTCAATCAATTTATGTTCATTTCAAATCTCAAATCATCGACAAATAATAAGAAACAACGAACGTCAATACGGAAGTAATAGCCACAACGGGACGCGCGCCCCCTACAGGCCGGCTGCAGTATATGTTTAAATCCTTATAAATTAATGCGACAATAAATAAAAATACACCTCACATATTTTCTCCAGCTGTTTACGTCTGCTGATTTGTGTAGTATTTACCTTGTTGTCATTTAAAAACATCAAATTTATTTTTTATTGCCTAAATTATGATTATTTTACATATTCAAGAAAATGTTAGGTTAATTTTCTGAAGGAATATGGAAAAGTATAATGTGTATCTATACACATTTTGTTTTAATTTATGTTTTTATTTATCTTTTTTTTTGTAAATTTTGTTTGAATATATTCTGCACAAAAAGGGGCAGATTTCATAAGATTTATTCTTCTTCTGCTGCCTTTCATTTAATTTTTGATTATACATATATTTTTCTTTGTTTTCTGTTATATATAGTTATTTTGTTTTTAATGAAATTAATACATTTCTAAATAAAATAAAATAAATTATTTTGATCACTACTTGAGGCACATCACAACTGTGCATGCTCTTGTTCCAAAATCACAACATGGCAGCTTCCATAAACTGAAGCCTGTCTTTATTTTTGAACAAGTGGAACAGTCAAAAACATTTTGTCCCCTTCATCCATCTTGTTTTGTTGATCATGTAAACCACAGTTCCTTCAGAACTTCAAATAAATCTATGAATCCTGCTCAGGGGTGGAAGTAAACTTTTAAAGATACGAGTTTTCCCCCCACAGTTTATCAAACTGTGTGCATTGACTAAATATCTTTCATTTTATTTTAATTATTCTGTGCACACTGATTTATTTGCAAACATCATTTTGTTTGATAGCATGTAATATTGTAAAGCTGAACATCGCACACATTTTGTAAGTTCCCTATCATCAAAACAAGCCATTAAACCTGTAAAACCACAAATATCTTATGTCGGTTGCATAAAAGTAGACAATATTACAACCTGATGTTAATGGAAACAAGTAATGGTCTGAAGTGAATAAATGTTTAGGAATAGGATTTAAAAACAGACTGAACATCAAAAATGCATGCATGGTTTACTAAATTTGGGGAATGGATTGTGAATTATTAATTCACTAAAATTAAAGTAGTTTTGCACGAGTTTAAAAGGCAAATAAAACACAAACAGTAAATTGATCTTAACACACTTGTGCTCTGATCCTGTCAGTCATTAAACTTCTTATCACTGTTCTGTTTACAGCTTGTTGCTCAGGCAACTCCTTTGGTAGCAACTTCCTGGTTGGATTAGAGCGCATCGCTTCTTGTCTCTCTAGTTTTATATCCTGATACTTTGGATTTGTTCTTCTGCTGTAGCAAACAACAACAACCCTTCAACAACCCCAGCCTTCTGGTCTGGACAAAAAAAAAAAACTTGACTGTAAGTAAAAAAAATGCTTTGAAATATTTAAAAAAATTATCTGTATTTACAAAATGTTTGTAACTTTAGTGTCTGGTTAAGTGAGCAAAATGCTGGCAAAAAGTACCAAGAGCAGAAAACAAACCAACCCAATAACAAATACATACATGCTTGAAGTATCCAATAGTAATTATCATTTGTTTTACTGTATTCTCCACATTTTTGTTACATTTTGTGTTATGCTAATGATTTAATAACAAAAGTCCATGCTCAATAATCCAGGTATAAAATCCAACATTTTTCAGTCAGGTCTTCTGGACAGTTTCTTTTTTTGTGCTGAAACGTTTCGCCTTCGATCCAGAAGGCTTCATCAGTCAAGGAAACGCACAACAAAACTGATTCTTCCCCCAACAGTTCACTCCAAAGTGGTTAATGATTTAATGTTTTGTTTTAGCACTTAAAGTATAAAGAAGCCCACATTGGGTGGTAATTATTAGTTAATGTGACAGTTATTTGTCACTTGGTACGATTGGTTTATTGATTGTCACACTTTTCCATTTCAGATGAGACCTATCAGTTACTTCAGTGTTTTGCTCCTGATTCTCAGACAGTGTCACGGTGGAAACATCTTGGTCCTACCAGCTGAAGGCAGCCACTGGATAAACATGGACATTCTCCTTAAGGCTTTGCACTCCAGAGGACACAACCTCACGGTTGTACGTTCCAGCAAAAGCTGGTACATCAAGGAGAACTCCTACTACAGCACCATCACTGTTCCTGTGGAACGAGGCCTAGATAAGGAGTTTGCAAATAATTTTGTAGATTATTTCTTGAAATTTGAACGTGGGGATCTCACCTTGACCAGTATTCTGTACAAATCTGTAGGAATGTACAACACATTTATAGACCTTCACAATGCTGTTACTGAAGTGCTCTCAGGCCTCCTGGATGACGCACACATGATTAGAAGAATCAAGGAGAGCAAGTTTGATCTGGTTCTTACTGACCCCTGCTGGGCCAATGGAGTTATTGTGGCCAAGTATTTTAATCTGCCTTTGGTTTATAATGTTCGCTGGTTAATATCTGAAGAGGCTCATTTTGCCATCGCTCCTTCACCTTTATCATATGTTCCTCTAACAGGATCTGGATCCACTGATAAGATGACTTTTATTCAGAGAGTTAAAAACATGTTTTTATACCAAGTCAACCAAATACAAAACAGTTTAGCAAGTAAACTGTTATACCAACCGTTATGTGACAAATATCTTGGGCCTGATACTGACTTCAATCAGATAAAAATTGACGCAGACATTTGGCTGATGAGAACTGATTTTGTGTTTGACTATCCTCGTCCCACAATGCCTAATGTTGTGTACATGGGAGGGTTCCATTGTAAACCTCCAGAACCACTTCCTGAGGACTTGGAGGAGTTTGTGCAGAGTTCTGGAGAACATGGAGTCATCGTCATGTCACTTGGAGCTTTTGTGAGTAAACTCCCTGATGACTTTGCTAATGAGATCGCTGCAGCTTATTCTAAACTACCCCAGAAAGTAATCTGGACCCATAAAGGTAAAAGACCAGACACTTTAGGAAACAACACTTTAATGGTTGACTGGATGCCACAAAAAGACCTTCTAGGACACCCCAAGATAAAACTGTTTGTTGCTCATGGAGGAACAAATGGAGTCCAGGAGGCCATGTGTTACGCAGTCCCAGTCGTGGGTTTAGCTTTATATTTTGACCATTATGACAACCTGCTCCGTCTGCAGGAGAAGGGGGCAGCTAAAGTTCTTACTCTGGCTACAGTCGAAAAAGATGATAACTTCCTGAAAGCTCTACAGGAAGTCCTGAGTGAGCCCTCCTACAAGATGAACATGCAGAAACTCTCTGACCTGTACAACGATCGACCAATGAAGCCGATGGACACGGCCGTCTTCTGGATAGAGTT